CTAATTTTTAATAAACTGAAGACCTCAATGTGTGTGTGTATATATATATGTATATATATGCATAGATACACAAGAAGAATGAGAAAGGAAGAGAAACTTTCTTTTATCTCTACCGAAAGTATTAATGTGGTTAGTTATGTGATGCTTGGAAAGCTGTAGTGGAGGGCAAAATAAACGACCTCTCTCCACATTGCCAACACACACACACACACACACACACACACACACACACACACACACGCACGCACAACCAACCATGCATGCCAGGCACGCATATAAGGTAACAGCAAGAACCCATTAAGTACATTTGAAAGTCATTACAGTTCAGAATAAAATTCATGATTCCTAATATTATTATTTTATTTTTTTGGCAATAGAACAATGTGGGCAGTGCTACCACCACTGAGTTCTACCTGTTGCCATCTTGGGACACTTTCTGCCTTTTCTTTCCTTCCTCCTCTATTTGTTCTTTCATCCTTTCACCTCCCATACTGCTAACTTTGGCCTACTAGTGACACCTAGTGGTAGCCATGGCGTGAGACAACTCCAGCTTTTTCTGTGTGATTTTGGCTGTGAGTATCCACATGCATAAATAGTTCAAGTGTTCCCTCTCACCTTTGTGAGCCCAGCCCCTCTGCTCTGAGCATCAGGATGTTTCTAGGCAGGCTTTTCAGGCACCAAGGCTTTCCTGTTAGAGAAGTTAAAATACTAATCCAAAGTCTGTCTTGTCTATTATTTGATGTCAAGGTCGCCACATCTCTTGTGGGCAGCATTTTATGTCCTGAACACAGTGGCTGATGTCACCCTCTCTTGTTACAGATTTACTTAGATTCATGCAATTTGCTTCCTAGGGATGATGCCTCAGTATTTCTCATATTTGTTCCAGCTGGGGTATCTCCTGGGGTACATTCCTGACTTTGCTGCTGATGCGTCTGAATCTGGCTTCCTCAGGTCTTAGGAAGCAATGATACTTCTGCCACATGCTCTTCAAGACACTGCCTTTACCCAAGTCTTAAATGTTCCAGGATTTGCATGCTGGAGTATGTCTTCAATGTTTCGGTCCCCTCTGCTGTTCCCCTAATTCCTTCTAGGAAAGCTCAGCTGAGTTTGTAACAGTTTAATTTGCTTCTTAAATTGGTCTCTTTCTTTCTGTGCGACATGCACTGTTTGCCAAAACTGAGTGCCTGCCTTCCTTCCTTTTTCTTTCTCCTTGCTTTCTAGCCTAGAATATTATTC